TTTTTTCATTGTCTAACTAAGGAACATTAAAGTGCAGTAATGCTGATCCTTCGCTATCTAAAAGCTACTAGCGATTTTGGTTCCCATTTTACTACCTATTTGGATATCACGTTAACTAGTTTCTTTGATGCTAAATGGGTGAGCAGCCTAGATGATCGATGCTCCACCGGTAGGTATTCTATATATCTTGGTTCCAATCTCATTGCCCAGAGCTCGAAAAAGCAAGCAATCATAGCGCACTCAAGTATAGAATCTGAATTTTGTGTGCATGCAAATTTAGTCACAGAGGTTCTTTGGATTCAGTCTCTTCTTGCTTATTTGGGATTCCCTGTCTCGATGCCTAGTGTGATAATATTGGTGCTACCTACTTGGTTGCTAACCCAATATTCCATGCTCGAACTAAACATGTGAAGGTTGACTATCATTTTCTTTGACTTATTCTCTTGGAAGAAACTTTACATTCTTTATATCCCTTCTAGCGAACAGATTGTAGATGTACTCATAAAGCCTCTATCTTCCTCACGCTTTCAGCTGCTTCGGTCCAATCTTCATGTCGCTCCATTCAGCTTGAGGGGGCGTGTTAGCACACATAGTGATCATGATGATCTAGGATAATGAGAGTTCTTCTTTATCTCTTGTTCATCTTATTATGTAACCTATATTGGAATTGTAATCCAATTCAAACTCATCGTGTAATCTCTTTAAAAACAAAATGGGTTTGGCTAGCTCTTCACCACCAAACTACAAAGTTCTTCCCTTAATTATTTTGTTCTTTCCTTTATTGTGTTTTAACTATGACAACAAGAGAGTAAAACTGAAAGGAGAAAAAGAGTTATGCTTTTTTTGGAGGTTATTGAGAGGCAACCCTTTGGTTCTCAATCTTGCGGCAATGTTAGAGAGAGAGAGAGAGAGAGATGAATGAAATGAATGAGTGGAAAAGTTGGTGTTGGAGAAGAGTCTTTTTCTTTGGAGGTGGTAGGAGATGAATCTTTGGAGTAGTTTTTCTTTCACATGTGAGTATGTGGTTCCTGTAGACTTGTTTTTTTGGAGGAAAAGCACATTCTTAATCTCATGTTCTCATTCTGAAACATGTTGTTTCTCATGAAAAACATGTGTTCAAATGTGTTTCTATTCCGCGGGAACGTCTAGAATGCAAGAAACATTCCCATAGAACAATTCCAAAAAGGGCCTTAGTTTTCTTTTCAATTTGGCTACCGACCGACAACAACCCCATTAGGATTGTTTTTTTTTTTTGGCTTCTAATGTATCAATCACAACAAGGGTATTGCGTATGTACTCTATTTAGAAACTTTCTTTTTAGATAAATCATATGGATTGACAAGTTAACATAAATGTAACTTAGTAGTATAGAGCATTGTTTTAAAAGGCTTAAGCCTTGAGGCAAGGCACATAAATTTTTCCTCAAGGCTTAAGCCTCACAACTTTGGTGTGAGGCTTAAGCCTTTATCAGAATGAGGCGTAAGCCTCAAGCCTCAAGGCGTGAGGTGTAGCCTAAGGTGTAAAAAGGCATAAGCCTCAAGTGTTAATGATTAATTAGTGATTTAATGCAAAAAATGTATTTTTATAATTTAAAACATATAGAAAAAGCACTTCAATAATTTTGGGCCAAATAAAAATGAAAAACCAATAACGCAAATCAAATTCTATTAGCTTTTTTTTTAGCATTTTAAGAGAGTCCAATGCAAAAAGGACTAATCAAGTTCTTAGTTTCTTTTGGATAAATCAAGTGAGATTTTTCTTATTATTCTAAATGTAATGTTATTATTATTATTATTATTATTATTATTATTATTATTATTATTATCATTATTATTTGCATATATTAAATTAACTAAATTGTTTCCTTTCTTTTTAACTATTGGATGGCCATAAATCTAATATCAATTATGTGGATGATTCTTCATATATTTCTTTTCTAATAAATTGGTTTGGTTTTTTACATGAAATGTAAATTGTTTATAATTGTTAGTTGACTAGTTATTATTTTATATAATGCTTAAATTCCAAAATTTATTGCTTATAAACTTTTAGTTTATGGATTGTGTAACTTCTATCATTTTAATTTGGTATATTATATGTTATCTTCATTGATTTACAAAGTTTAATTAAAATTTTCCTTAAACTTTGAGGCTTATGCCTTGTAACACCTTGAGGCTTACACCTCACCTTTTTGGGCCAATACCCCTCTAGTAGGGGTGGATTCGAGCCGACCCGAACCAAATAGTACTAGGCTCGAGCTCGACTCGAGACTGTTCTACAAGGCTCGAGTTCGGTTTGAGCTAGAACCTTGAACTCGAGCTCGGCTCGAGTAAAAAATTCTTGAGCTCGGCTTATTGTCATATGTATAATAAGAATAATTTTTATTTATTTTTACATGAAGAAGTCATTATGGAGCTCAAGCTGAGAGAAACCTAAACATATGAGTAGGGATGATCGTTCGTATAAAAACCAGACCAAATAAACCAAAATTTGAAAAACCAAAATTAAAAAATGAAAATTAAACCAAAACTGAATTATAGAAAAAAGCAAATAATCTAAGCCAAAATTTTTTATTCGGTTTTCAATTATTTTGGTTAAAACCGAATTTCAAGAATGTATATACTTTATTATACTAGTAAACATGTATGTGCATTTGCATGTGACAATATCTCTAAGACAAAACTATTTATAATTTATGGTCACTTTTTATAATTCATTTATCCAAAAATTAATTAAGGTATTAAGTGGGCAGTTTCTAAACAGTTACAATTTGATGGTTTCAACACTTTGGCAGTTGGTGAACAGTTATAAGTGAGCAGTTTCTGAAGTGAGAGTAAAGGACATATATGCCTTCTTTATACCCGTTGTATGCTTAGACAACAGGGTAAAAACGTTCAATGAAAATTCCAAAAAAGGGGCATTCACTCTTTTATAGGTAGTATATATATATATATATATATATATATATAGATAGATATATATTATAACATATAATATATATTAAATATTAAATATTAAATGTTATATATTATATATTACATGTTATATAGCAAAGTTCAGTTAATTTGGTTATTCCGAGTAACTGGATTTCTAATTATAAAAATCGAAATTGAAACCAAAATATTCAAAAACTGAAATAACCGAACTGAATTAATCAAAAACAAAATAACTGAACCAAAAAAATCGAAATAAAAAATTTTCAGTTTTAACTCAATAATGCTCCCCCCTATTGGCTAACATATCAACTTTTGAACTTTTGAGTTGAGACAAATTTGAGCTAGTATTTCTTACCTAATGCAAATACATCGTGAACTCGAGCCTATTCTTTTCTGTCCAGCTGAACGTGTAATGTTCAACTTGGGTCGCATGCTCCCTGATCAAGATTTTGAAATTTCTGATCTGTTTTTACACTGTATCCAATCTTATTGACCTTTTGGGAGTCGTACCTCTTGGCCTTTCACGTGAAAGTTTCTTTCACTTCTATCACCATTTCCCCATGCTTTTACATTCCATCCAGTACTCCTCTCCCATTCCAATAACATAAAATGCTGTACCCAATTTAGAAGTCAGATCGCCCTTCAGATGAGCTATTAATGTCACTATTTATCCTATCCACCTTATTTTTTACCATTTTCCGGTAGAGACAAATTCGATTCCGGCTACCACCACTAACTTTGGGGAGGGGACTATGCTATTCAACGGTCTCTATGGGAGATTTAGATAGGTATTTGGCATTGGTGCTGAAAATATCGCACCGTTTTGTTTGATGGGCATGTAGAGTTGTAAGAAAACGGTACTTATTGTTTGTTTGGAATAAGTGCTGCTATATAAATGTTTTTTTGAGAGAACAGGCAATGTTGGTAGCAACGTTTTCAATGTTGATCTATATTATTTAACATCCAAAATGATGTCACATTAATATCACATCATTACACCACTCGCAGAAACACACCACTTTCCCAATTATTAAGGTAATAATCTAGAATAATATTTTTTTTCTAGAAAAGTGATACCAAACAAAAAGACGTTATTTGAAACACTGCTTTCTCTAATGTGGCACCTATATACCACCATTTTCTCAGAAAATGGCATCGATACCAAACACCCACTAGGTGAATCATCAAATATCAAAAGAAAAAAACAAACCATGGACCCAGAATGCTCACCAGGTTATAGGATACCAGTTCATCCATAGGTCCAGTCCAAGTCAGACCTCAGTGCCCAGTCCTAAGTGTTTTCAGACTCGGATTGGACTGAATGGTTGAACCGGTGACTCAATGACATGTTGGGTGTCCGGGCGGTTTAAGATGGTTGAACCCATTTTCAAACCAGCCTATTCCAAGACCTCAAAGTTACCTTAGTTCCAAACTCCAAAGGCCACACAGCATATATAATACTTGGTGGTCCACGTTTGGTCCTTCAAAAACCCGACAAAAAAAGCAATTAAAAAATCATTATCAAATCATAATGAGAGAGGGAGAGAAGCAAAGCCCATAATCAAATTTTTCATTCACAACGCACTGACACTATCTGTCACCCACTAAGCTGCTGCTCGGCCCATTTTATACTGCTTATCATTATTTTAATATTTTATTTCCCCTAGTCATTGCTCTTCCAGTCATCACCAAGTACACGGACCCAGCTTCCAGCTCAAAACACACATGGGCCTTGAGTTTTGAGCCCTGAGCCCAAATGGGCCATTCATTTGTTCGCCCTTGTCTGGGTCTGGCCCACTATTCGGACGGTCCAGATTGGCTTCCCAGGTTACCATAAAGAGAATCCAAGGCAAGGGCATTTTAGTCCCCTCCCCTAATTTGCCTTCCCCCCTTGTAAATTGTAATCCCATTTCTCCTTAAATTATCACTAATTGCTTAAAATAAATAGGGGCAAATTCGTCAAAGCACGGGCGCTGCATCGTTGGCGGGGGGGCCTGGGCCTTCTTAAAACGGAAACTCAGTGGGGCCCACTATAACGTGCCAGCTCCTGCTCTGAAAAACCCACCCTCACACCCTCCTCGCTCTCTCTTTCCTCTCTTTTCCTCAATCTCCGGCGCTCGCTCTGCGGCCTTTCTCCGCCTGTCTGTTTTTTTCTCTCACTTGTCTAGAGCATCAACACAAACAGCTAGCGAGCAATGCTGACTTAAACGGTTAGAAAGAGGAAAATCTGTTCAGCCTTGCTAAGTCTCGTCTCTTGAGGTTCTTCCTTGACGGGTTCCAAGATGAAGGAGACCCATGTCGAATCTAGGGTTTTAACCCTTTGTCTTGCGGTCTTCCTTTCGGTTTTCTTCTCTGTACAGTCTCAGACGAATCCCGGTGATGCTTCGGTAATGCAGGAATTGAAGAAGAGTCTGAACGTTCCAGTAGGACTTGGATGGTCCGACCCAGATCCCTGTAACTGGGACCATGTACAATGCAACGACAACAAGCAAGTTACTCGGATTCAGATCGGAGGACAGGATCTTCAGGGGACGTTACCTCCCAATCTTGGAAACCTTACAGCTTTAGAGCGACTAGAGCTGCAAAAGAACCAAATCTCCGGCCCTCTTCCAAGCTTAAGTGGGTTGTCGTCTTTGCAAGTTGTACTTCTTGGTAATAACCAGTTTTCTAAGATTCCGGCCGATTTCTTTGCTAAGCTTTCGTCTTTGCAAGTTATTGAGATAGATGATAACCCCTTTTCGGCCTGGGAGATTCCGGACAGCCTCCGTGATGCTGCGACTCTTCAGAATTTCTCGGCGAATTCAGCCAACGTTACTGGGTCGATTCCTGATTTCTTTGGAGGAGATACTTTTCCAGGCTTGACCGGCCTGCATTTATCTTTCAATTCACTTGAAGGTGTGCTTCCGCAGAGTTTTGCCCAATCTAACTTGCAGTCTCTGTGGTTGAACGGGCAGAAGAGCACTAACAAGCTCACGGGAACCATTGATGTTTTGCAGAACATGGCTTCCTTAAAGGAGGTCTGGTTACATGCAAATGCATTTTCTGGGCCTTTACCTCACTTTTCTGGGTTGAAAGGCTTGCAGGTCTTGAGTCTCAGGGATAATATGTTTACTGGTCCTGTTCCGGCCTCGTTGATATCTCTTCCATCTTTGAAGGTTGTGAATTTGACAAACAATCTGCTTCAAGGGCCGATGCCGAAGTTCCCTGATTCAGTTGCAGTGGATATGTCTACTCAGACAAACAGTTTCTGTTTGCCCACTCCCGGCGATTGCGATCCCCGCGTTAATACATTGCTTTCTATTGCCAGCTCCATGAATTATCCGACGCGGTTTGCCGAGAACTGGAAGGGTAATGATCCTTGCACTCCATGGCTCGGGATTACTTGCAACAGTGGCAACATTACAGTCATTAATTTTCAGAATATGGGACTCTCGGGTAAGATCTCTCCTGACTTCTCGTCCCTTAAGTCTATGCAAAAACTGGTCCTTGCTAACAACAATCTCACGGGTACTATTCCGGTGGAGCTTACAACTCTACCTGATCTTAGGGAGCTTGATCTAACAAACAATCAGCTTTTTGGAAATGTCCCAAGTTTTAATCGTAATGTGATTGTTAAGACGAGTGGTAACCCGGATATTGGCAAGGATAAGGCCAGTCCACCTTCATCAGGGGGTTCAGAAAACCCACCACCTGGTAAGAGTGGTGGAAATGGAACAAACAGCGATTCAAGCAATGGCAATAATAACGATTCAGTACCAGTTGGAGTTATTGTGGGTTCTGTAATTGGTGGTATTTGTTTGATTTTCTTATTAGGGCTGTTGGGCTTCTGTCTTTACAAGCGGAAACAAAAGCGCTTTGGCAGAGTACAGAGCCCAAACACAATGGTTATCCATCCTCGCCATTCTGGGTCTGACCCTGAAATGTTGAAGATATCAGTAGCAGGTTCAAGTGTGAATGCTGGGGCTGCAAGTGAAACATTCAGCCGGACCAGTAGTGGGCCCAGTGATATCCAAATGGTTGAGGCAGGAAACATGGTGATTTCCATTCAAGTCCTAAGAAATGTGACAAACAATTTCAGTGAAGAAAATATATTGGGAAGGGGAGGTTTTGGAACAGTTTACAAAGGGGAATTGCATGATGGGACGAAGATTGCAGTGAAGAGAATGGAGTCTGGGGTGATCAGTGGGAAGGGATTGTCCGAGTTCAAGTCTGAGATTGCTGTTTTGACCAGGGTCCGGCACCGGCATCTGGTTGCACTTCTTGGGTACTGTTTGGATGGAAATGAGAGGCTTCTTGTATATGAATACATGCCTCAGGGGACTCTAAGTAGGCATCTTTTTGACTGGAATGAAGAAGGTTTGAAGCCATTGGAGTGGACAAAAAGGTTGAGCATTGCCCTAGATGTAGCTAGAGGTGTTGAATATCTGCATAGTTTAGCCGCTCAAAGTTTCATTCACAGGGACCTGAAGCCCTCTAACATTCTTCTTGGAGATGATATGAGGGCTAAGGTTGCAGATTTCGGTCTTGTTCGTCTTGCTCCTGAAGGGAAAGCCTCAATTGAAACACGGCTTGCTGGAACTTTTGGGTATCTTGCACCAGAATATGCAGGTAACACTTTAATTTTTCTAAATTCAAATATAGTAGTTTTTAGAATGATTATGAGAAGAATTGCAAATTTGGAGTTCTTCCTGAATTAACTAGGAGTCAGAACCGTCTTTATGGATTTAAATACTTACTATTATATATGATTGAGAAATGTCAAACAAACACCAAAAGAATAGCTGAACCAGGGAGAGACTACAGAGAAGCAAATAATTAATTACATTCAGTTCTGACACCCCTGATCCTCATCCCCCTCATTCACACCTGAGATTGAAACATGATAGAGAATCACGGTGGTGATATATTTAAAGAAGGATCAAACAATGTGTTAGATAACATGAAAGTTATAGGGTTTGAGGGGGTGCTGGGCACTGATTGTAACTGTAACTTACATTCTTGTTATTATTTCTCACATATAATAAATTTTATTTCAGTTACCCATAAAAAAGAAAATCCAAACTTTTCTTGGTAGAATTTGATGGATGCATTTATTCTTAGGAGAGTTCTGATGATATTCAGCAAGATTGCAATGCATGCATCCAGCTACAAAGGCCATTTCCCACCAGCTATCTGAGTTTTGGGAGTGGTAGACTGGATACTACCCTAACCTTGTCCTTTTTTTTTTTGCAAAAGCATCCATTCTCAGACTTGGACCTGCCTTTTTAATAAAAAAAGGCTCGAACCTGCCTTCTCACACTTGTCAGTTCAAGATTTTTGTCGTTGGATCAAGTAAGGGTCCCGAGCATCCAGCTGTTCAGGTGAAATCATGTTGGGGGGGGGGGTCTCTCACCATTACAGACGCCCCCTTGATGGGTGGGCGTGTATATTGTGTTTGTGTCATTCACACCCTTGAATACCGTTTAGATATTGGCTTCTGCCAACCCAATTCGAACCTGTTATAAGGAGGGGTCTCTCACCATTACAGACGCCCCCTTGATGGGTGGGCGTGTATATTGTGTTTGTGTCATTCACACCCTTGAATACCGTTTAGATATTGGCTTCTGCCAACCCAATTCGAACCTGTTATAATTTCATCTTATTATTATTAGTAGGATTTTGATTGACTGACACGTTGAATCCTTTACATGGTTTACATTCATTTATACCATTATATCCATAAAAAAATTCATCTTAATGTGTAGTTAATTGCAAACTATACAATTCTTTTTTGATTGGTTACGAATTATGTAGTATTCAATTAATACTTCTATTTTCTGTTTTTTTCTATTAGCATCTAACATATCCAAAAGTATGGTTGTAGTTCCATAATAATGGCCATTCACTGGTTGCCTTTTCATGGTTCATTTTTTTTAATAATCACTGCCATTTATTCTCCATTCTCTTTGATGCCTAGCCAATACGATTATTTTAGTTTTTGTTCATTACTAACTTCAGAATTGGTTCTTTTTCACCATGTAATTGAACAGTGACAGGGAGAGTGACCACCAAGGTTGATGTTTTCAGCTTCGGGGTGATATTGATGGAACTTATAACAGGGAGAAAGGCACTTGATGAGAGCCAGCCCGAAGAAAGCATGCACCTGGTAACATGGTTCAGGAGGATGCATCTCAACAAGGATGCATTCCGCAAGGCCATAGACCCAACCATTGATCTCACTGAGGACACTCTCTCAAGTATAACCACTGTTGCCGAACTGGCAGGCCATTGCTGTGCAAGGGAGCCCTATCAGAGGCCCGACATGGGGCATGCAGTGAATGTATTGTCATCCCTGGTCGAGCTCTGGAAGCCGGCAGACCCAGACTCGGAGGACATCTACGGCATCGACCTCGACATGACCCTACCTCAGGCGCTAAAGAAGTGGCAGGCGTTCGAGGGCAACAGTCACATGGACTCTTCCTCATCATTCCTTGCCAGTGTGGATAACACCCAGACAAGCATACCTACCCGGCCTTCTGGGTTTGCAGATTCATTCACATCAGCAGATGGAAGGTGAAGGAAGAGTGAAGAAGAATAGAGATAGAAACTGGGTTCTCAACGGTGGTGACAAGGTGGCTTGTTCATTCCTGATGCTCCTGTTCTTGCTTGTTGATCCTTTTGTAAGTTACAAAGTTTGTTTTCCTCTTTTCCTTTTTCATCTGTTTCTCTCCTCACAATCCCTTCCTTTTCTTGGGATGCTTTACTTTGTAGTTTGAACAGTCTTTTGTTTAAAATTTTCATTTTTCCTTTTAGGAGCTTTACTTTAGAAATGCAAATAGAGAGACCGAGTCAAATAGATACTTAACAAGAATGTCTTTAGAATCATTCCCCCTTGCTATGCTTTTCTTGTACTCCAACTTTTGGGGCCCTGGTTCTTGAAATCATGGACCACATAAGATTATACTAATCTAATGGTCGTTATGATGTAGTCATGTTGTGGGTCTGGACCAGCATACTTGCCAGATGTCCTCATCACAAGGGTGTTAATTGGGTGGGGGGCCCATTGACATCATGACCAACTTGGACCTTTGTCTCAGAAGCTCAATAATCCTAGTACTCTCTAGTCTCTAGTAGTGTGTCACACTGTAAAGGACTAAGGATGCCTTGAGAACCTAGTCTTTTGCTGCCAGTTGAGACACAAGACTACAGCTCATCAGCACCGAAATGTCATGGTCCCTTAGAGAGACACGTGGCACGTCTGGAGTCTTTATTCATGCAATTGCCAGCTGGATGAGTCATTTCAAGAGCTGTCGAATATTCTCCAACTTGGAATGAGAGGGACATTGGACATGTGGGGCAGCGGCCACGTGTTGACAACCCACAAGCTACACGTCGACCTGTCCCCCTAATGGAACATAATTATTATGAGGAAACCTTATCCAGGGAGGAGTTAATCTGTATGTGGGCTACCATTACAAGGTTGTTTCAGTGGGGACTGTCATGTCGATGTAGGGTTGAGATGGACATGTGGTGATACCCACCGCCCAGGCGCTCACGCGCTTCCATGAGGTATATCTTCTGGTCCAAGTTAAGAGATTGATTGTCCCCTGTCGTTACCCTTGGATAAAACTAAAAGACGGGTGATATAAATGGGCTTTGGTTTTACTTAATTTGTCGGGGACATCAATTATGGGGGTCCATGAGATGGACGGATGGAAGATGGGCCATGCAGAAGGGAGTGATTTATTAAAGGGACATTCACATGAGACAGCTCTTCTAGCTGTCGGATTGGTGTTGGGTGAACAAGAGTTGGCTGTTAGGTATGTATTAATTCAAAAGTGTCAATTTTTCATTTTAATGGATTCGGGTGAATCCGAATCATCCAAAATTTGATAGGATTGAAAGGGTGGATCCGATACAAATCCGATCCGTATACAGCCCTAAATGCATATATGGGTGAAATTTATTTTATTCATGATATACGATTTTAAATTTTTTTTTGCCTTATTAATAATATATAATATTTTTTTTATAATTTTTAGTTTAAGTTATTAATGCTGTTCAAATACGAAATTGATCGGAATCCGATGAACAACGTTACATGATTGAATTCATGTTAATTATACTGATATTTTTAATTATTTACATAAATAACAAAATCAAAACTTGAATTTTCATAATATAACCATAATAAAAATGACAGTAAAATAGGAAATTATTTATATGTTAATAAACCGAGTGTTTTTAACTAAAATGGACTTATATATTTTCTATCAAATTTGCCCTTTTAAACATAAAATATAATACAAATTATAAGAAAACTAGGAAACCTTTATATTATTAACGAAATGATCTGTTTGGGCCTAAGGATCGGTTCAGAACAAGCAAGAATCAGAAATGACCCAATTATTAATTGTCACAGAATCCTAAAACAAGAATCAACATAATCGGTTCAGTCCAATTCTGTTGGGTAGACCTGACCCATTAACAGCTCTACTTCTATAGGGCTGCAAATTCATCCGATTTAATCTAGTTGGAATTCAAATATGACTTGCTTACTACAGAATCCGATCTGTTGTATCCAATTGGATATGAAAATGTCACCCCCTTTATTAATTGGATCAAATTTGGATATTGCTTGATCCAAAGAGGAATTAATTTGGATTTGGAACTTTTATAGAGAAAATCTATGATATAGAAAAGATATAGTATGGAAAGAGTTTTGACCAATCAAAAACCATCCATGAATTTTGATAAATAACACTTGATTCGCTACCAAATTTATGATTTTAGTTGATTGGTAATATGTTTTTTTGGATATCCTATCTTTTTTATAATATATATTTGTTTTACATTTGATTTGATAAATTCATATTAATTTTATACAAATTTCTTGATATTTTAATTGAATAAGATTCAAATCAGAGATCCAGATATGTAAATTTTTGAACTCAAATATATGATTTACATATCCGCCACATAGTGGATCAAATTCGGATCTTCAAATTCGTACCACATTGGATTCGGATATTACCCACATCAGAATTCGGTTGGATCTGTTTGCAGCCCTAAATTTCTATTGTATAGACTTTTTTTTTTTTTTAAGACTTCAGCTAATATTTAATTTCTCCGCCGAAGTAGGAGCTAAGAAGCAAGTGGGACCATATTGTTCCCTCCTTAATTACATATTGACCATGTAAACATACATCCAAACAGGTTCTTTCAGTTATGAGAACCATATAACAAAAATATTTCGGAAAGAATCAATAAATGAGAACTTCAACCAGAAAATATCTGTCTTTTATGTTTTGGAGACGTTGGTTGATATTGCAAAAAACATTTAAGGTGTTGTTCCACATCAATTTGAAATAGATGTGCATTTAAATGGACAGGGACGCGTTTGGACTTTGGATTAAAATTTTTGGCCTCTGGTTTAATCCCTGCTTTAATTCCTTGTTATTCCCCATAAAAGCCCTAAGACTCCTTTCATTCATCAACATAAATTCAGCTAAAGCTTCTTGATCAATAGGGTATTTCAGACCAGACCGGCCAAGAACCAATAGTCAAAGTGGTTATGTTTTTTTTTTTTTTGGAAAATTCTTGATTAGTACCCTATATTTTGGGCCTACTGTTATTTTGGTTTCTGAACTTTAAAATGTGATAATTAAGTACCCAACTTTCAAAGCATGCCAATTCATTGTCTGTCATTAACCAACCATTAAGTGGCATTTGAAAAGACACAAATGCCCTTTGAGTGTCATCTAATTTTCTTTATTAACCATTCAAACGTTGCCAAAAAATGAACAGTCTCAAATTCTTGTCTCTTCCATCAAAAAAGATGGGCTCACCGGATGCCCACTGAGACGTGACCCCAACTTTCTTGCATAAAAGAGGCAAGGATTTGGGACTGTTCATTTTTTGTCAACATTTGGATGGCTAATAAAGAAAATCAGATGACACTTGAGGGGCATTTCTGTTTTTTCAAATGCCATTTAATGGCTGGTTAACGGAAGGTACTGGATTAAGACATTTTGAAAGTCCGGGTATTGAATTATCATGTTTTGAAGTTCAGAGACCAAAAGTGGCACTAGGCCCAAAGTACAGGGTACTAATCAGAAATTATCGTTTTTTTGCATGAATTTTATCAATGACCCAGTAGTTGAGATGGTCACTTGGGGGGTCACTCCAAAAAAGAAGGCATGGAATGAAACCCATGGAACTGCAGGCTCTCTGTGTTGATTAGGGGTACAACTTGGATTGGCCCGAATTAATATTTTACACTGTTTCAGGTTCATGTTACGGATCAGGGCCATTTAAATTTTGACAAAAATCAAACCCAAGCCTGCCCAAGTTTAAAAAATAAAAAAATAAATAAAAACCATGGTTCTTAGAATGTTGATTCGATCAAATTTACCCCATTTACATGTGTTAATGTGTCATTATCTGCTCTAATTGCATCCAACAGCCCTGTTAGTGTCTTAGAATTAATGAGACATGTTTGAGCCTACTTGAATGGTCCAACTGACTTGTCCTTGATTTAAAACAGTTGGGATGATCTTTTAAATAAGAGGATGGGTTCAGATTTGCAGAGCTATAATTCCAAGCCTCATCAATATTCATTTATAGTAGCCTTTCATCAGTCCTAACAATTCTCTATCTGAAGTTAATGTCTTCACTTCTGAAACTTTTACCAGAGGAAGAAGCTCTGGCTTTCTGTCCATTGAATTCTTATCATCCTGTTAGTAAATTCTTTGTTATTAATGGAATGCGCACATCTTCAACAAAAAAATTAATAATCTGCATGGATGGTTGTCAACCATGGAGGCTAAGGGTGTCAATAGCTCGGTTTTGGACTTTGGACGGATCAAAAAGACATAATGGATTGGACCAATCTGGTCCAGAATTTAATAACGGTAAAACCTTGGGATGATAAGTGTGAGAATGTAGCTTCAAGCCTTAATAGTGACTGTCGATGCATCTCTACCAATGAAATACCAAGGGCTGTAAGTTCTATCTATTTGTCTGAATTTCAACTCCAATTTCATGCCATTAAGAGTGATCCAAGTTTTGATCTATTTATAATTGGGCCTTGGAGCGATTGTTGAGTTGCTGCATTGCAATCTGGGTGACTAAGGTTCAAATCATGGAAACAGCCAGTCTGTGTGTACAGGGGTAAGGCTATATACATCTGTCCCTCTCCAGACCCGCCATTGGCGGGAGCCTCGTACATTAGTCTGCCCCTTATGAATCTGACTCTATCTGATCTGATATGATTCAATTCGATTTGATCTATTTATCTATATGCTAATAGATGCTTAAATTTTATATTGTATCTATTGGCGAAAATATATTGTATTTTTACTAGTCATCATAGGTTTAAATTTCATATAAGTTATTTTTTGGGTTCATTTTGTTCATGATAATATCAACTTCATTGGGTTATACATCCAATGGGGGGCGCATGCATATGCCGGTGGGGGAGGGCTTAACCTGTCCCCTATCCATAACCCTCCAACCTTGGTGACAATGAATTTGATTCTAAGGGGGCATTCTTTTTTCGGATTTTGAGAGGTGGACCAAGAAACACATGTTCATTTTTCAGATTTATGTGGACTTTTTATCATTGCCTTGTTTACATGGGAAATAAAAGAACATGGGTAAATTCACTTACCCAAGTAACTGACTTACCGAAAAGCAAACAGGGCATAAGCATCGGCTACAGCTAGCTAGAGGACTTACCAACTGAACCAGGTGGCAATATGAATTTGATCCAAATCTGATATAAAGGATAAGATTCAAATAGAATATGAGTATTAACAATCAAAATTAGGTCTGGGTGTATCCAATTCAACTGATCTGTTTGCAACCCTATGGATAGCCTGGAC